GACTTCTGACCTGCAGAAATATGAGATGATACATCTGTGTTGTGTGCCGTGTGTGGTAGTTTGCCACAGTGGCAATAGGAGACAAATGAGGGCTTAACCCTCAAACCCCTGCTGGGGGTGAGGAGTAGCTTGCTGCCCCGTGGTGTTATATGCTGCCTCCCCTTTAAGGCAGAAGGAAGTTTATAATGGCCCTCAGACTCCCTGAGGGCATGTGTTGAAAATGAGGGCCCAGGCTTTCCCTCATGTCCTGCTAAATCCAATCTCCATTACTAGAGCTTGAGGACAAAACCAGAATTTAAAAAGTGTACCCCCGGGTCTGCACCTTCAGCCGGCCTGCCGTCATCCCCCGTTTGGCAGTGGTTGGGGCTGTGGAGCCCCAGGGCTATGATTTAACTCAGGTTCTGAGGCTCTCAGTGTGCTTACCTGGACCTGAGGGTCTGAATATATCAATGGAAGTCATGGCCCTGAGGTTCTCAAGTTGCTGGGGAATGACACCTCAGGGATCTGGATCTCAGAGCTTGTGGTCACTGATGCTATGCCCTGGACTTTGCTCTACCTCCATGATGTGATTTTGACCCATGATTTATGTCACAGTATGAGAGCTGGGCTCTCCTATGCTGTGACTGGGCCCTGTAGACCAGTGTTGAGCAGAAGCCCTGTCACAGAGTGTGACCCATCTCCACATCTCATGGGGATTTGGCAGTGTAGCATAGGGGCTCAGTGTGGGCTGAGGTCAGAACGCATGGGTAAGCTAACCCTTTTCAAGTGGGTAATATCATACCTTCTTCATGGAGCTACTGAGGATTAAATGTGGAAAGGTTTGCTTCTCTGCTACCTGGACAAGCTATCAGCTACCCAAACAGGGATGAGACCTCATGACACAGGCCTGCTGAGTGAGGAAAAAACATTTAGGACAGAAATTTTCTGGTGACTACTGGCTTAATCTACTTATAACCATAACCAAATATACCTTTTCAGTGTGGAAATTTCTTCTCAGGCCAAGTGCCCAGGGTGAGCAGGCCCTCTGGAAACAGGCAAGCTGGGCTGGGCCCAGGCTGGTAAATAACTGGCTTCAGGGGATCCTGGGGTGTGGGCGGCCCTGATGTGCAGCAGCTGCCAGTCCCTCTAGTGTGACTAGCCCGGCCACCGCCAGAGCTGCCAGCAAAGTTACGGCAGGCAGGGTTGGGAAGAGACGCAGTCGGTCCCCACACACTCACAGGACCTGGCTCCAGTGCCCCATGCACAGAGAGGTGTTCGGGAAGATGAGTTTTGGTTGTGACACAGCGGTGTCGCCAAGAATTTACATGCCCCCTCCATGCCCATGACCTTCGCCGTACCCCCAGTGAAGGACAAGGGAGGCAATAATGGGATGATTTTTCAACGTTTATTGACAGGCGGCATTGTTCCTGAGCAGGCTCCTGTTT